GTACAGTATTTATTAGCAGAATTAGAGAGAATGAAAGATATACAAAAAAAAATATGTAACGTTTTCTAGTTGTTTTTTTTTGTGTGTTATGTTTCTTCTTTATTTTCGCTGCACAGACACAGCCAATAACATTTTTAAATAGCCCAACTGGTTCAATGCCAAGAGCTCTCCCCAAACGAGAGAGAAAGAGGACTTTCCACATGGGATTTTCAGTGGAGCGATTCCATTCAGATTCTCGAAATAAAGGAGAAGATTTATTTCGGTTTGATCTCCTACAGGTATAATCCGCTTTATGTTCGTCTGCCTTTTGCATCTTGAGCTCAACTTCCAGTATTTCCTATACAAGATCTTCTAATACTTTTCTCAGAATGAACAAATTGAAAATGTTGACTTTATAAAGACATACATTTCCTTAAATTCAATAACTCTAAAAACGTTTAAAAAGAAATATTAACAAAGTATATATATTTACAATAGATGTAAATGATCTTCAGCATTGGAAACTTATAAATGAAGACTTCTCAAACATTGAAAAATATGTGGAAAGCAAGAATCAAAATTTGAAAAAGTTTCCTAAAAAGAAATTAATATACCAAAACATGTAAATGTTTCATTATTTCATAAATTGAAATGTATTCAGCTTTTGTGCAAACTCACAATTAATTTAATTTATTTATAAAACAAACCCATCGTTTTTTTTTAATTCATTTATATAATTAAAGCTAAAATTGAGCAAACAACAAATAAACCATTAAAAATCATAAAAATAAATTGAATAAAATATAAATATCCAAAAAATGAGCAATAACATTTTTTTTCTTCAGTTTGCGGTTATAAAACTGTTTTGCATTTCGCGCTTCTAAAAATACCTGGATCACCAGATTCTCCACTCCCCGCGATGAGTATTGCACGAATCACGGTACATCGCGAATGAATTTGTTTCCTAATTAACACAACACTGCCACTTCGAACGATCACAAAATATTAACAATTGAAAAAGTTGACTTTATAAAGACATACATTTCCTTAAATTCAATAACTCCTAAAACGTTTAATAAGAAATACTAACAAAGTATAAATATTTACAATAGATGTAAATGATCTTAAGCATTGGAAACTTATAAATGAAGACTTCTCAAACATTGAAAAATACATACAAAATTGTCCAATATTTTCTTTAATTGCGACTGAGAAACAAGTAGAAACCAAATTACAAAAGCAAGAATCAAAATTTGAAAAACTTCCCTAAAAATAAATTAATATACCAAAACATGTAAATGTTTCATTATTTCATAAATTGAAATGAATTCAGCTTTTGTGCAAACTCACAATTAATTTAATTTATTTATAAAACAAAACCATCGTTTTTTTTAATTCATTCATTGCTAAAATTGAGCAAACAACAGATAAACCATTAAAAATCATAAAAATAAATTGAATAAAATATAAATATGCAAAAAATGAGCAATTATTTTTTTTTCTCCAGTTTTGCATTTCGCGCTTCTAAAAATACCAGGATCACCAGATTCTCCACACCCCGTGAGTGCACGAATCGCGGTGCATCGCGAATGAATTTGTTTCCTAATTAACACAACACCTCCGCTCCGAACGATCACGAAACATTAACATTTGTAATAACATGCAATAATAATAATAAACAACAGACTTCAACGAAAACCAAACAATTCCACGAATATCAAATACGTATAAATTTAAACACTAGAATTTACCGAATTAATAGAAAAAAACTTTTGTTTTCACAGAACTGTTATTGAATTCACTTCATCAAATAATAAACAAATCCAAAATTTAGCAACATCAAAATTATCGAAAATAATATGAACAAACAAAAAAACTCTTGTTTTCATGTAATTGATATAGAATGTCAATAATAAACAAAATAAATATATATATAAAAAAAATCAAGCAGTGTATTTATTTCATTTACTGTGTAAATATCGATTCGCAGGAAAAAAAAAACAAATTTTTATGCGATCTAAAAATAGGATTTATATGTTTGCACGCTTAATTAAAAAATAAAATCGTTTGTTTTTTTTTTGTGTTGATTCCCTGTATTCACTTCGCTATTATTATACCAGTATTAATTATTTGTTGTGATTGAATTCGAAACGAAAAACAATACAAAACGTAATTGAATTTGCGTTAGTCAGCTACATAACAACATGTATACGCTTGTTTTGTATCACACAAACAGTTGTTAGGCTTCAAAATATAATGTATTGAATAGTATAAAAATTCAACTAATTTATTTTGTATCATTTTTAAACGTTAGATTATAATTAACCAGAGATGTAACAACAAAAATGTAAGATTGTATACAAATTACATTCATCGTAATTTTCATCAACATTCAAGGAAGAGAAAAACATCGCCTGATTTCGCGTTTAATTAAAAACGGAACATTTTGATCTGCTTCGTATACATCTTCTTTTATTTTTCTCCTGTTTGTTTGTTCTTTCTGCTTCTCATTCCACTTCGTTTATTTATTATTTTTTCTCTCTTTCTCTCTTTGTACCTTCTCCGGTCGTTTATATATAAATTTCTGTAATGAAATTTTGCTCGTCGGGAATTTTCCCGAAGTGAAAAGCCACTCGACGTCGGAGTTCAGCAAAGTTAATTATATTTTCACAAGTTCCCAGCGCAACTTGTAATGTAATTAATTATTGGCAATTGGTAGCTGGTATGTATATACATACACAATTTGGCTATGGGTCAGTGATTTAGTGCCCACTCGACTCGAAAGATATTTACTCCTCGCAAGAGAAAGAGAGAGAAATGAGATAACCAAAGATGTACAGTAAATCATGAGAAACAGTAAGAGGATAATAGAGTTATATTTATACATTGAGAGAGAAGGAGAAAGAGAAATTCATTACTGCATTGACTTTATTACTCATTTAATGAACTCTTCACTAATGGCGCCAACTCAGCGGCACAACAAAATAAAAGGTTGCGTAATCGACACGATTTTGTACGTTTCTATTTTCCTGCTTCTTTCCTCTCCTCTTTTCCCCCTCAGTCCTTGTTCCTTCGACTGCAATTAATTTAAATTGGATTCAGCTCTTTCATCAATTAAGATCGAAATGTGTTCGAAAACAATGTCACCATTTAACAAACGTCCTTTATTCATAGTCAATCAAGATATTTTCTATCTAAGGATATTCTAATTAAAGTTAATTTCTAATAGTCCTGGACATTCTTAATGTAAAATCAATCAATAATTATATAGTTATTACGTCTTCAATTTTACCAATTATTATTTAAATTGAAATTACATACTTTTGTAAGTGAAACTAATTTCCAAGTATTTCGTATCCAATTACCAAAGGCGTATTTCTTTATGTTTTTGCTTGAAATTGAAGAAAATTATACGTTTTAAGACCTGAAACTAAATATACTGAAACTTCTTTATGTCTTGATTAGCTTTCTACAATTGTGTCGCGACGGGGGCATCCATATCGAGTTTCTTTAATTTGCCAGCGACGTGAAATCGGAGTTCGTCGCGTGCAAAACCATTTATTAGAGGTATTGTTGTTCGAAGGAGAGCTGAAGTCGAAGCTTGGAGGACGAGCCGCAGCGATCTGATTAAAGCCCGTAGTAGAAGTAACGCGATATGTTCTCGTCGCAACGAAGCTCAGCTTCTGCCACCTCTGGCAGAATTCCAAGGCTGGCGCAATCCTTTTAATCTCATCTTACGCGACAGTCAACGAAATAGTAACTCATTCCTAGCGATAATGGATTGTTGTTCTTTCTCTTTTCGCTCCCATTTCCTCGTTTCGTATGCAAAGTGTACTACTTTGAAATAACTACTATTATCGCTCGTTTTTATTACATTGCCTTCGAGCATATTTCAATCAGACGTCTGCAGACTTCAACCGTGAACATAATGCATCATCATAATTAAGGCAACAAAGTAGTCGTCGGATATAAAACACCTTAATGGTATTATTAGTGTAACCTACAACGATGGATGTCTTCCATCAAGTACTTGATGTTTCATAAACAACACAATGAAGATTGAGCATAAAACAAGATTCCTGAAGACTAAAAAATGAAAACCACTTTTGATACAACTTGAAGTATCATCACATTTTTTTTTAAGTTAACTAATGTATGACTAAGAGTAACAACTATTGTAATTAAGATTGTTAAATCTGAATATTAGTAAGTGAAACTTGGAGATTAAAGATTCCAATTGGAAAACATAAGAATTTATTCTGAATCTTAAACACTTAAGGATACGTACTAAAAAGAAGTTATATAAATGACTTAAATTTGGAAATCGTGACACAAAGAGTTTTATACAAACTACATACATAAACGGAATATTTCAATGAGAATGATGTGATGTGATGGCAGCTAGCAGCATAAACACGAAACCGTACCCGAAAATGAGTTTCTTCATTCGTTTTGCGTGTGGATGGAATCAGACGATGGAATAATATTAACGCTTCGTGCCTCGTTCTTTTACTGTTTGCCTTTCCTTCTTTATCGAAGAATCGTTCGGTTATAATAATACTCAAGCCATTTCATATTCATAAGGCGTGAAAGTGCGCCGCGGAATACGTAAACGCAAAACTGGATGTAATGTGAATTGTCCGTAGAGCGAACGCATAGCATGTATAAAATAAATACAGCACACACACAACAGCAGTGTGAGTGATATTGGCTAAATTGAAAGTTCGACCTTCGAAACGAGACACACATTTATTACAAGCTCACTGCGGTACTCCGATTATTTACTTATACCGTTCTTTATTTATTAATATTTTTTTCTTTCCCTTTTCGCCTCAGGTACGTATATTTATTGGCATGCGATAAGTGCATTAATTTTCACCGTAATCGCGGAAAATTATATAAACACGGTTTGAGTCACCGCGGTTTTCGAGCTACGAATCTGATTAGATACGAGTTGAACGAACTTATAATGCGGAAAAAAACAGATTGGAATAAATAATAAGGGTGTTCGTGGTACTTACGAATGCTGGCCACAGCAGGGAGCCCTTTGTGTGGGCGAAGGGGTCGCTCGTCCTTTCTGCCCAGCAAAGGGCCTGCTCCACCATGAACACGTGGAACAGGCTGTCTTTGTAAATGCTGATCCATTCCCTCCTGTGCCACTCGACATCGTCATATTCCACCAGCACCTGCAACAACAACAGAAAAAAACGATAAGCATTAAAGAACGGTGACTTTCAAATGACCTCTGCATTGGCGCATTACGTTCTCACGTACCGCTCGATATGCTTCAATCGATTTTGCAGATTTTCAACTTCGGGAAATCCGCCGTTGTTCGATCAACAACACCAATCTTGCTTTACCATCGTAATGCACATAATGATTTCCTTTAACGCGACTACAAAATCGCAATACAAACAGGAGCTGTCGTAGACTCAACAAGTTGATACTTCAGATATACTCAACAACCGTTGCGGTTGTACAGCAATTCCTGATTATATATTGAATTACCAAGTTTTCAGTTATCATCAGCTTAAAAAATACTATTTTGTTATAGACAACGTTTACTTGAAAAAATATCTTCTTTTTTAATTTGATATAGATATGAAGATTAGATGAGATGAATGCAAATATCATCAAAACTCTCTGATTTTGTTCCCGTTTTTGGAAGATTCGTCTGCGCTGCTGCATCGCCTTAATTGCTCAGAGATAGAGGAAATCCTCTATTTGTATTACCGGACACGAACCTCTCTTATCCTTAATCTTATATTATATGTACTTCGGGGGGGAATTTTAATGATTCAGTCCGCGTATTCGGCGCCCGATTTGCATGCGCCGCGCGGCCCGCCTCTCTCGGACCAACCCCGTAAATAATTACATACTCTCACGTAAATAGACTCTCTAAGCCTCACTTACCAATGGATATTCCCACACCCAAAAAAAACGAGAAATTGAAAGAGCGAGCAAGAAAGAAATACTACAGTCGCGAAATTCTTCACATGCAAGAAGTACCGCTCAGAACAACTTCTTTATTTCTTTCATATGAGTAATCTTTAACGTTTTATTTCTTTATTTTTCATAGCCTTAACAATCTAGCGGCACTCAAGCAAATACTGTGTGCATACATGTTTTACCATATGTAATTTATCATTGCGTATTTTCACTTTGAACCAACACATTTATAATTTAACATATGTATCGTCTTCTTGATATTTGACAGCTTACAGAAAGTTAAGCAACGTGTGACATTTGCATAGGTGACTTGCATATCTCTTAAGTCACAAGAAGTACACTCAAATGTATATCAATTACTATAACCAGAAGTTATGAAATAAAATACCTTTATTTTTTAATTGAAAATGTTGAATAAGTTGTGTGTAGCAATGATTAAGTAAAAATAAGATTTATGATTAACCAGCAGTAGAAATCTCAATTAATTTATGTAAAAATAAAAATATTGAATTAATTAATAAAGACTTGATTAGTTTGAGCATACTGAATAAAGATCAGAGAAGCACCAAATTTAATATAAAAACCATGAAAATGTTACAAGAAGTAAGTAGCTTTTACTATTTTCTATCGATAGGAAAAAAAATGTTGTGAGGTGAGTGAACTATTTAACAAAGAATAGTTTAACGTAAATAATCATGCGAAGGATACTTCCAAGAGTAGACAAAAAAAATGTAAGAGACACAGCACATTGTTTAGCATATAAACACTTTGAATAAGTTGCATGCGATAATAATATTAAAGCCAAGGCCGGGCCGGGGTGAGATCATAAATAAAATGCGCTCGAACCATAATACACACACGACGCACGCATTTTTATTGGCTCCGCGCTTTATGTAACGTTCATATTGCTTCTTTTTTTCTTCTTCTTCTTGAAACTGTCTCGCTTTTCGTTTTGGCCATCGGCCAAGGAATTTATTATTAGAGAAGTGAATGAGCGTCGTCGCCGCCACAGCCGCCTTCGATTGGCTTCAGCTCGCCTCTCGCCATCCGCGAGGCATTGTCTGCGAAATTTATTTCCATTCCTCCTCGCGTCGAGCGCGAAATTTGCATAAAATACTGTTACGTGATTTTGCAAGAACGAGAGCCCCGGGGCCAAGGCCGAAACTTTTCGTTACTTCTGAATTTATTTATTTCTGTTTCTTCAGTATAAATACAAATATATGTTAAGAAAATAGGTTGTCAAAAATAGTTGATGTCGCGTTCCGCTAGATGGCGTGTCAATTGTGCGAAAACAGCCTAGGGAGGATGCCAGATCTCGCGTGTCCCACATCCGCGCTCCTCCGAAAAAAACAAACGAAATTTATCGCCGCTATTCCAGTCGCCAAAGGCCTATTTATAAAGCACGCGAAGCATGGAAAATATGAATATTGTTGCGATAATAAATAAATTCAGGATTGGCGTCAGGCATGCCAACCAACATCGTCGATTCCACCTAAAAATAAATAGCACACTTTCACTGTCCGCACGAGAGACACTGTCTTCCGTTTCATTTATTTTTTGTTTTTTTTTCTCTATTTCTCTCCCCTTCCATTTCGGTTGGCACTATCGTAAATTACCGGCAACGCTCTAGTTAAATTCCTCTTTTATTTTTACTTTTATTCCTCTCGTTATCTGTGCTGGCGCTGACAGTGCAATTTTATTGCGCGATTAACGTTTCTGTGTTATATCCATTACCCTACGTAACGTAACGTGCATGGATGGGTGTTCGTGTGCGTGCATGAGTAGTCTACGTTGACATTTGGAATTAGTTTGATCCTCGCGCAAAACGGAACCAAGGACAAAGTAATCGCGTTCAAATAAATTATGTTTCCGCATTTTTTCGCCTTATATCTCGAACACACACAACGTAGTGTACGTACACACACGATCGTGCATCCTAGATTATAGAGGTCATTCCAATGACAACGCTCGGATCTATACCTCCGAAACAAATGAAGTCTATTATCCATATGCACCTACTTTCTTACCACCACTTTCATTAACATGTTTGCCTTTTGACATAAAATGCCAACAATAAACTCATTTTATGATCTCATATCATTAAAATTATTTAAAATTTTAATGTTATAACATCATCAAATTCTATATCTAATTAAAGTTGATTAATTCTATTAATTTTCATTGTCTAAATCACCTTAACATAATAATTCTAATGATTTACTATTAAATTGATTATTGGAATCATGTGCATCTAACCTAAACTAAGTTAACCCATAATTACTACACTACTACTATCACCATTACTAATTACTATCATTATAAAGTTAGGCAATTTAACTTTGATTGAGCAAAATTAGGTAATATTTAATTTATGAAGCCATTAGATTAAGTCAGGATTCGTGGATCATTCAATAGATTATCATTGTTGTTCTCATTTTTTAATACCATAATTTTTCATTTTTATCTGTCACTGAATTTGAATTAAATAGAGTTAACCAAAACAAATCGAACGTGTCCTAACAAATCTGACTTGTTTATGTGCAAATTGGGTGTATATCGCAAGCCCGACAACCGAAAGACCGTCTATTGAAATCCCGACGTTCGAAATCCCGACTATATCGAAATCCCGACTATATCAAAATCCCGACTACCATAAAAATGTTATTGTAGAAATTTATAATAATAAAAGACACTGTCGGGATTTCGATATAGTCGGGATTTTGACATAGTCGAGATTTCGATATTGAAATGTTATATAAACTTCCCACAATCAAATATTTTGTAGTATGCAAACAAAAAGATTAAAGTTCCATTGAGCAAACTTCGCATGAAATTTGCGATTCACTGGAAACCTGAGAATGGCGGGAAGACACAGACAGCTACACCCAGCTGTGTTCTTAATGCAGCAAGCTTTGCTATTAATGCATCTGGCGTGATTTAGATGCATTGTAATCATCCATTTATGCGTATATAAACGAGCTGCCTTTGCTGCAAAGATCAGCACTCCCAGGAGTCGTTAGTTCAAGCACACGGCCATCTCGCCAACGTGTATGTGTTTGTATCCCCCTTATCGTCTCCGCAAAATCAGCAACATGTTGGCATTCCCGCATTCAAGGTTACAGTATGAAAAATCTTAATGGAAATCGCTAAAGATCGATATCGACACATCGCTCATGCATTTCCCATTAATACCACTATCATTACTGACGTAATTGATTTACGTGTATATATTTGTTCATTCGTGATCCTAACATTTGCTATAAACATTAGTATCTTTTAGACGCTAACGCTAATAAATTTGTTTTGGAAATCAATGAATTTTAAACAATTTGCATTTGTGTAGGAGCTTTTCCATGATTATTTGAAACTACTGAAATGGAATGTATTATTCAGAAATTGTAAGCCCCGGATTTAACTGAATTCCAGCAGTTCTATTAAATGATGAAATGGCGTATTCCTAGCATAATTCCATTCTGATCGTGCATAAAATATCAAAGCAATATTTTTTTTTATTACCGAACCATCAATAAATCAGGAATCTACAAATAGAATCGGAACTCACAAAAATACACACACACAAAAGTTGTGAATTGGTTTGAACTTTGAACCTTGTCGAAATTGTATAAGTAAATAAAAGATGTAAACGATTTCGTAACAGCAACAAATTCAAGAATTTGTGTGTTCTTTTTATAAATATTTTTTTATTTCGCGTTAATTGAATAGGAAAACGGCGCTCTCTGACGTCTGGTTTTCTGTGATTTATGCGTGGACGTTTATCAAATGAACATCGATTCGTGTAGTGTAGTGCAATAATTTATCCTGCCGCAAAATTTAAATATAGAATCCACTGCTCGGACCGTTTATATAGAACGAGCAACAATTTTATCTGAAAACCCGCATAAAAATAATACCAGGAAGCGGCGAAGCTCTCTCCTCCCACCGAACATTCTTTCCAATTATATATGCATATGCATGCATAATAAACACACGTAGTACCGTAGGGATTTCCCTGCTCTCCCTGCACGAAAAAAAAAAAGCAACGTCGAAAGAATGCATTGTTAACGCGGTGTATCAATTTACTGCTTGCAACGTGCACACATTTCATAATTTTCAAACTTTAGAGAAAACGCTGTAGGGACAAGATAGTTTTTCTAATAAATATTGTAAAAGTTTACATTTGATAAACGTCCCAATTAAGAAATTTTAGCCTGTGATATAAATGATAAGTATAATATTA